TTTATTTTTTTGAGTTTTAACAAATCTGGTAATTTTAATCATTTTTAGGTACACAACTACCAGTTTATATTCAGCTAAGTTCAATTCAGTATGAACGTAACACATTATACTTGTACATAGAGCGTGTCTGTGATTAATGCACCTGCACTTCCTCTGTTTGGGCACTAATGGCCGACATTTTGAACATCTCCAATAAGAACGGCCTGATGGTATTTTTGTACTGTAATTTCCGCTTGCCATTGTTTCCTGATATGCATGTGCTATAAATGAGAGTAGAAAACGAGCATCATCATCATCATTATCATCATCGGCGAAACAGACTTCTTTGAGCCGTAGCCTTCCTTAGAATATTCTGCCAGACTGCTTCCGGTCATCGATCCCTTGGGTTTCGCATTCTTTTAAAAGGAAATGTCGTCATTTATAATGACTGGATAATTTCTTTTTCAGGGCGACATTAAAAAAGTTATTTTGCTTATATGTGACGTCAGCAGGGGGCAGGCTGTAGCATAGTTGGCTGAATCACTATGCTACAAGCCGGAAGGTCGCGGGATCTAATCTCGATGAGGTCATTGAATTTTTTCAGTTTTCCAGCCGTACTAAGGCCCTAGGGTCGACTCAGCCTCTAACAGAAATGAGTACCAGGAATTAATTAAATAATTTGCCTGGGGCTAAAGGCGGCCGGCGCCTATGGCTGACAACCTTATCGCCATCTATGAGCCGATTGTCTAGAAAATGTGGGAACCTCAACGTCTCACAAACCTATGGACCTCCAAGGCCTGTTACAGAGATATCTTGACTTTATTTTTATATATGCGAAGTCAGTCTGTTGTAAATATTCTCCCTCCCAAGGGTTTTCCAAGGGAAGTTGGCAGGCAAAAAATTAAAATTAAACTGTTTAAGAATGCTTTTTCTAACCTAAGAGATGCTTGTATACTGGCAGTTCCTTTCTTTCTTCATTCTTGATTTTTTAATCATGGGGGGGGGGATGAAGATGTTTAGTTTTTCTCCCCTCTGCTAGCGTAAATGGCTGTAAATTGAACAGTTTATCAAGTTCAGGACAATAGCAGGACATGGGACAAGAATATTGATGGTGCACAATTAAATATTATTTATTGTTTTAATGCTAGTGATTTTCTCGAAATGACCAACATTTATGCAAATGTTATGTAAGATGTTGCATGTATAGTTTATTCGGAAAATCATTTTCTCATTTCAATACTTGATGTACACATTTCAAAATACATTCAAGTCTTTCAGGTAATTAGGGGCTTAAAATCAGCTGAAGTAGATGGAACAGTCACACTCAGATAATACACGTATAAGAACATGGGTCAGTTCTCATAAAAACCTGTCAAAGAACCAAAGTTACATGTAAATGCTAATTTATACCCTAAGTAACATGACCTTTAAAAATGAAGACACTACACCAGAATAAAACAAAATCTTGACAGCATTTTGTGTTTATCAATGAAATCCATTTTGATTAACATAGAAAAACAATGTGAATGCTGATACGTGCAGACAGACGGATGGACATGATGAAACTAATAGGTAGATTGAACGCACTAAAGGTGTATGAGTATCATTCAGTGCTTATTGCACTACATTCTGTGGCACATATAAAGGTTGTCAAATTTTAATTTTCACTGGTGTACAAGTGAAAAATGTTGTAGAGAATATCCAAAATGGCTGAAAGAAAGAATACTGTGAAGTGAAATCATATTCTTTGTTTGAAATCAGTTTCTTTCAGACCACATAGCTAACAATTTGAAATTAAGGGGAATGCATCGTTCTTTGGCCAAACAGGATAAATGCTAACTTTAATTGTTTCCTGGTAAATATATTCCCAGTGCATGGCCATCGCTATTGAATATTCAGCTGCTCAAGAAGTTCTCTCTTTATAGAACCTGAAGGATCAATTTATCACCAAATCCCTTCATTACATTCTACAACAAGTCCAGGAATATTAAATTAATTTTTGCATGAAACATGTCACATGTGCAGTGACACTGATGCAGTAGTCTTCCACTTACATTTTCGTAACATCCTGCCCTATGGTGAAGCCATATTGTTGAGGTAAACACAGGATTGGGTTTCATTTAAAAAAGATAACCCTCCAATGTCACCTGGGTGTTTTAACACCCGTCTTTGTATGTGAAATTCTTTTGACCCTGGATGCCTCAGTATGAAGGTATATGCCATGAATTTGATAAAATTCTGGGAATTGAGTGGTTGAGCAACTGCCGGCTTCTAAAGAATGAGCCAGCTCTGCAAATTTAGTTACATGATCACTTCCATAGCTAAATATTGAAACCACACTGTATCATCATCATCATCATCATCATTGCCACCATCGTAGTCATCATTGTTGCCTTTATTAATATTATTGTTTTAATTAGAGAGCCAGGATACCTCAGTCGGTATAGTGACAGGCTTCTAGCTGGATGACTAGTGTTTGATTCACAGCAAGTGCAAGAATTTTATCTAATTTAGTGTCCAGACTGATCCTGGGGTCCACCTAGCCTCCAATCCAATGGGTACTGGGGGCTCTTTCCCAGGGGTAAAGTAGCTGGGGCATGGAGATGACCACTCACTTCCTTCTAGTACCAAAGTCAGGAATGGTGGAGCTATACCTCCACTCCCGCATATATTTTCATGGCACAATGCTTAATTAGTTAAGCACAGGGGCCCTTTACCTTTACCTTGCACATGATCCTGATGGTTTGACGACACTCCATATATTTATTTTCCTTTAAAAGATACCTCATGTCATCAGAAAAAAATGTTAGGAGTAAAATTTGTAGGGATAAATAAAATACATGCTTTGTCTTCTCTGCACTTTTCCCATAAGTATTTATGTTTTTTGAGGTAATTCAACATATCAGATACAGTATGTTCATTTCCAAATTTCTGTATCAAACAATCACCACAGTTTTCTGATCGCTTTTAAAACTATGATTGTCTATGGCGCATCTTTTCACCTTTGTGTATAATTGTCAGTACACTGATATGTTACGAATATGACAAGAATTAAGGAAACTGCTTTGATCACCCTGTATAAACAGCAGATCAGTGCAAAGACAATGCACATTCTTTCTCATAGTGTAGTGTTATTTTCCTAAGATACCACCTGTACAGTTTCATTTAGGGAGATGGTCTCCATAATTACTGAAATTTAATAAAAAAATCACATCCCATCTGAAAGGACCTGCCTCTAGAATTTTTTTGTTTAAAATGTGGTTTATGAAAATTGTTAATTCAACAATGATCTGTTATCAAATGGGATAAGTAGTAGCATAGTGCATATTGTGAAAATGTGGCCGGTGTTATGAACTGTAATTGCATGGAAGAAAATGGCTCAGTACCATTCTCTACAGCCGCTCGGACACTTACTCTCAGAGGTAGATCAACATGACAAAACTGATGTTCCTGGCCCAAAACACACCCAGCACGGCTTGCAACGAAGAGGTACGGAAGTCAGCGATCACCTTCGTGCTTCAGCTGATTTAACTTTGTGGGCAAAGCACCCCAGTGTCCCAATGCTGGTCATATAGCCTGACTGAACTATGCTACCCATTTGGCAATGATTGTGGCTGTAGTGTGAATTATCACAATGACAATAAGAACTTGACTGTGCTGCCACCTTCCTTATCAGTCTGTTATCATGACTAGAGGTATTTCAGGCTTTCCTCAATTGATATTGGGAACTGCTGGGACATTTCTTTAAATCAGGTCACGACCACTGCCTGCGTAATTCCCCAGTCACAGTCATCCTGCCATTTAACACAAACCTATGCAGTTGAAACAATGCTCCTAGATAAACCAAGTCCACTTGTGAAATGCAGTTCTTCACTATTATACGAGGCTGGCTATTAAACAGCATTACCCCCACAACAACAGAAAACAGTCAACACCCCCTGGCACCCACCCTTCACTCTGCTTAAGAAACAGACCACCAAATGACCAAACACTCTTTTTTTAAAGACTGTCATGAGTTCATATCCTCAGCCACTTCAATCCAATTCAATATTATACTTCCAAGTGAGGAACTGTTTTCAGGTTTTCCAAACTAAGTTTTGTGCTCACTTCTTTTCCTCATTTGATTTAGTGATATACACAACCTATCCAAGTCAACAGAAAGAAACTGAAAAATATCATGAAACTTAGAAATTCAGTGTGCCTCTGAGTTCAAATTAAATAAATTATAAAACATATGCATAGAATTCATGAGTCCATAATTCTCTCTCTCTCTGGGGACGTCTGTGACCCCAGTTACTTTGACAACTCTGCTACTGGGGACATAAGCTCTTGGTTGGGCCAAGGCCAACAAACTCACCTTGCAAATCAATGTGTGTTAAGAAATGTCATGACAAATCGGGTGGAAAACTTAAATAACTAAAGAAAGGTTATCAGGCCAATGAGTCATCTTGCTACTTGGGGTGTCCTCAGGTCAATTGTCAATTGACAAGCAGTCAATTAAAATCGGAATTACACAAATAGTGTTCCACTTGCAGCAATTCAAGAGATTGGATGGAATGTGAGGGAAGCATGGGCATTAAATGCATTTGGTCCACAATATTTACAAGCATGAGGTGACTCACTCTGAATCAGTGACAGAGAGAACTCCCATAGTGCAAAGGTCATATGAGCTCATACACCAAATGGAGAAAAAGATTATAGTGGGCGATGTAAATGCAAATACTGGACAAGACTCAGCAAAATATTAGAAGATGGGGTTCACATTAGGTGTCCAATACTAATAGACTGCAAGCCACAGATTTTGCCGTCAGCACATATTTTCCTGCCAACAGGGTACACGAGGAATCATGGTGAGTTCCAAATAACATCTATTAGAGATGTTGGGGGCTATAGGACAGTAAAGTGCGATATAGACCGATATAGACCATTATCGGGGCCGTGTTCGGTGCTTTCGCTTAGATCTAAACACTTTTAATCGACTAATCGGACTAATCCGTGCTTTTGATCGTGTAAGTTTGGCGTAACCGCCATTTTCTGCATATGCCGTTGTGTACGAGATTATGCGAGATCAATTGACATCGCCCCAAAATGTGTTGTACGTTTGCGTGGAAGTATTTGACTTTGGTGACAGTTGCTGCAGAATGATATTATGCTGTTTTCCAGCTGTGTGTCATAATAAAATGGCATGAAGAAATCATAATTTTGAGCTTCAATAGTTACTATCACTTTTTGTCGGCCTAATATATCAAATAAGAAAGATGTCAGTAAGTGCTAGTGCCGAGAATTTGTCCAGTGATAATCAGGTAACACTGTAATATTCATACTTTGTAGTGAGTTTACAATTAAAATTTAATGATGTGTTAGTACGCACAGCACAGAGGTTTATATTACCGTATATAGGGACATTGTTATCAAATGTTCAAGGTTAAACGTGTGTCCGAAATTTGGTTTATTCTAATTTTAGAGTTCTGGAGACGGAGGCAACATGTGTCTCGAACTAGCATTGGAAGGAGAGAGGTTGTGTAAGGCAGGAGATTGTCGAGCTGGGGTGGCATTCTTCCAAGCTGCAATCCAAGCTGGTACAGATGATCTTCGGACTTTGAGTGCCATATACAGCCAGTTGGGAAATGCGTATTTTTACCTGGGTGACTATGTGAAGGCAATGCAATATCACAAACATGACCTTACTCTTGCAAGGTTTGTATATTACAGGCGATTGTAAAGGCCAGTGGTTTACAATATTATATTTAAGCATCCTGTTACAATATATATTATATGTCCTTGATCTTGTTCTTTCTACACTACATGTTTCGGCCTCTATCGGCCATCATCAGGTGTATATTCTTAACGTTGCTGCCATACGAAGAATGTGACATTGTGTTTTTAAATGTTAAATTTTAGACTGGGTTCAGTGTGGCAGCAGCGTTAAGAATATACACCTGATGATGGCCGATAGAGGCCGAAACATGTAGTGTAGAAAGAACAAGATCAAGGACATATAATATATATTGTTTGCACTTAGGACGGAGTTTGTATCATTTATAGCCAGTGGTTTACTTGAACTGGATAACTTTGTGCAGCAGTAAATTAGGGATATAAATTAGCGAATATTTTAACAGTAATACATAAATTATCTGTTAGGTCCTTGTCATATGACGTGTACCAGTTAACATATACCTTATAGTGGATGAACGTTGTCAAGGAAATGACAGTGTTAGGTTTGTTTAGACTAACGCATTTTCTTCATGGAATGCAGTATTATGACGTTCTGGAAACTTTTTTTTGAAAATAATTTGTTTCTTTCAGTATGCCGAATTTGTACTGTGTTGGAGAGTAATATAGTAGCGTTAAGGGACCGTGACATAATTGACAATTTATTATAATATATTTCAGAGATAATATTTATTTCTGTAGTTTTTTGTGACACATTGTCAAAGGCAGGGGTCAGTTTTTCACAATTCTTGTTTTCTCTTCTTACTATATGTTGAATGCGTCTCTCGTGTGTTTCTATTATAGAACAATGGGGGATAAGCTGGGAGAAGCCAAGTCAAGTGGTAACCTTGGCAACACGCTTAAAGTGATGGGGAAGTTCGATGAAGCCATGATATGTTGTAAACGACACCTGGAAATCTCACGAGAACTGAAAGATAAGGTGTGTATGGTTTTGCCATTTGTGCTTCATTGTACTTCCTGATTGTAAATGTTCCCCCTTCCCTTCCATGATTCATTCATTTATTCACGGAGCTGAGCCCTTCTTGAGAAGTCGAAAATTGTGCACCTACTCAAGAATTTCCCAGAATTTTATGGAACTCGAAGGTTCATTACTGTGTTCGCAAGAGCCCTCCACTGGTTCCTATCCTGAGCCAAATCAATCCAATCCATGTCATCCCAGCCTATCTCTCAAAGATCCATTTTAATATTGTCCATCCACTTATGTCTTGGCCTTCGCAGTGGTCTCTTCCCTTCTGGCTTTCCCACCAATATCCTATATGCATTCCTCTTCTCCTTCATTCATGCTACATGCCCTGCCCACCTCATCATCCTTGACTTGATCATTCTAATTTCCCTTCCATGACAGGACAGAATGTGGCATCATTTAAGCTGTATGATGCTGGAGTGTAGATTTCTTTCTCATGATTTCAGCTGAGTGAAGGGCGAGCCCTGTACAATCTTGGCAATGTGTATCATGCCAAAGGCAAGCACATAGGCCGAGTGGGGCAGCAGGATCCAGGGGAATTCCCAGAAGATGTGAGGTCATGTCTTGAGCAGGCTGTGAAATATTATGAGTGAGTGAATTGAATCTGCTTTATGTGATTATTGCAGTTGCACGGAGTGTCAGTGAGTGAGGCTGTATATCATTTGGTTTTCATGTATCGTTTCAGGGAGAATTTGGAATTGATGCGAGAGTTGAATGAACGAGCTGCTCAGGGTCGGGCATGTGGTAACCTTGGCAACACATACTACTTGTTGGGAAACTTCAAGCAAGCAATCCATTACCATGAGGAGGTAGTTGTATTGAGCAGGACAGTGTCTAGGGCAGAATGGAATCATCTGGATGATAATGCACATGTTGATGTTATTTTATATATTTATGGTTTTTAATGGTGCTCTCAGTGTCTCAAATTATATGATATCAGATTCATTCATTCATCAGTAATCTGTCAGATGACAGGTCCACAGTCACTTCCGAAATAGTTCCTCCACTTAATGCAGAATATCCTCTTCTGGCCTCAAGGTCATCCAGCATCTTCTTACGTCTTCTTCCTTGTCTTCTGGTCACTTCTATCCGCCCCTCTATCTTTCCTTCAGTAACTTCTTTTAGAAGGCAGTTACTGTGTAAGATATGACCAATCCAATTAGCCTTCCGTTTTCTTATTTCGTGTAGGATATTCCTCTAGATAACACTTCTTCATTTCTCACATAATCGGTCCAACTGATCTTCTCCATCCTTCTCCAACACCACATTTCGAAACTTTCCAGATGTTTCTGATCTACTGCCCTAAGTGTCCATGTTTCAGCCCCATACAGAGCTATGCTCCAAATGTAGCATTTCACTAGTTTCTTCCTCAAATTTAAGTCCAATTTGCTGGTAAAAAGATTCTTCTTCTTGCTAAATGCAGCTTTTGCCATGGCAATCCTGGATTTAATTTCACAAGTACACCTTCCATCATCTGTTAACAAGCTACCCAAATATTTAAAACATTTCAGAGTCTCCAGTTGTTTTTGGTCTATCTTTATTGTGACTGCGGTTGGTTGTCTCGAAATGTTCATTACTTTTGTTTTTTCCACATTCATTTCCATGCCATAGCACCCTCCAATTTCTATTAGTCTATCAATCATACCCTGTAGCACAGTTTCTTCCTTAGCCATTAACACAAGGTCATCTGCATATTTCACAGTTTGAATAATTTGCCCTCCTAATTTGAAGTCTCCAAGCCCATCCAGAGCTTCCTTGGTAAGGCATTCGCTATACAAGTTGAGATATCAGATTATGTGATAATTATTGAATTGGAAAATTTGTGGCTGGAAGCTGTTGATGCCTCATTTTAGTTAAAGGGTATAAAGGTAAAGCCTGTAACAGGCTGGAAGCCCATAGGGTTGTAAGACGTTGAGGCTCCCACATTTTCTAGAGCAGTGGTTCTCAATCTTTGTCAGACCATGGCCCAGTAAATTATTCTTTCTGGAAGACGGCCTGGTATAATTGATGCCAGGTCCCAGTACTATACCACGGCCCAACAGTTGAGAAACACTGTTCTATACAATCGGCTCACAGATGGCGGGGAGGTTGTTACCCTTACGCGCTGGCTGTCCTTTACTCCCAGGAAGATTCCTGTTAGAGACTGAGTCAACCCCAGGGCCATAGTGTGGCTAGAAGGATTAGATCAGTTGAGAAAACCCAGTGACCTCATCAGGAATCAAACCTGCAACCTTCCAGCTTGTAGCATTTCGCATAGTGGGAAGGGGGTGGAGTCCAGCTGGGTCCACTTGGCACATCGGCCAGTGACTGGCCTATTGTACCTGCCCCGGGTGATTATGATGATGAAGAATTTGGTGGAATGAAGATTGGCAAGGGAAACTGAAGTACTCAGAAAAGAAGCTGCCCCAGCACCGCTTTGTCTAGCACAAATCCCACTTGACCAGACCCAGGCCACTGTGGTGGGAAGCCAGCGACTAGCTGCTTGAGTTATGGTGTAGCCTCAGCTTGTAGGATAGTGCCTCAACCAGCTCGGCCACTGTGTACCCCTGCTCTCTCAAAATTTGCCTAGATGGATTGCATAGCTGGTATCTGGGCTGAGATTTGAACCTTGGACCTCCCAAAAATGGAACAAATGCCACCCACTTGACCACGACATTTGTTTTGATTGACATTACAGAGGTTGAAGATCGCTCGTGAATTTGGAGACAAAGCAGCAGAACGGCGAGCGAACAGCAACCTGGGCAACTCGCACATCTTCCTTGGAGAGTTTGAAGCAGCTGCAGATCATTACAAGTATGTGTTTTTGTGCAGAACTTTAGTTTCCAGGATGTTACACTCTGCAGTCCGTTGATAGTGAGCCATTGCTCTGCTTGGCTTACTCTTCAGCTGTGAAGATAAAGGCAACAAGTTTGTCCTAAATGTTAGTTCACTTTCAGTGGACTACATGGCATTACATCACAGATGGTAGAACGCATCATGACTGCCTCTGTGGGAACCTCAAATGCTACTTGTATGTTCTCATATTACTACCAGTTGTGATTTATGGTCGTAAAATGGTCCATGACTGAAAAGGAAATGTTATGAGAGAGGAAAACATTGAGGAAGGTGTCTGGAGCAGTAACAAAGGAAAGGTTTTGGGGAATCTTAACTAACCAAGAACTTGGGGAATTATTTGAAACCCATGATCTGTTAGTGTATATTAAAAGGAGAAGGTTGAAGTTGGTGTGGAATGTGATTAGAATGGCTAAAACAAGGGTGGCTAAGCAACTCTGCGAAAGCAAGCCAGAAGGTACAATGAAAATGGGAGGTCCTAGATTGAGGTGTCTGGAAGATGCAGAGGACGATGTAACAGAGTTAAAAATTAAGAGATTGGGGCAAAAGGCAAACAACAGAAGAATGGACATTTGTTATAAAGGAGGCTAAGCTTCTTAGAGGACTAGAACCGAGTAGGAAGTAAATTGTTATGTTGGGTTGTCAGATGAGGAACAAGACCGTCACAGGATCCATGAGCTGTGATTTTGTTTATAGACGCACCTTGGTACTAGCACAAGAACTGGGAGATCGAGCGGTGGAGGCACAGTCTTGTTACAGTCTGGGCAACACGTACACACTGTTGCGTGACTACCCGGTCGCTGTGGAGTATCACTTGCGACATCTCATCATTGCACAGCAGCTCATGGACAGAGTGGGTGAAGGTATGCTTAAAGTGATCACAGTGAATGATTTCAGTTCCGAGAACAAGTCTGCCTTAACAATTGCAGTACTCCTCACAGTGCAATTTTTTCCACTTCTCTTTGTCCCACCTTGTCGTCAAACTTTCATGTTTGATATATGATGTGCTACAATGGAGTGGGGTGGACTTATGGTTATCAGATGGGTTGCTACCCTTTGCATCCCTTTTGGCAGTGCTCTGTGCTGTGTATATTGTGTACTTCGAACAAAGTCTAATTTTCTAAGGTTTGAAGTTTTCATGGCGTTGACTATGAAGAATGCTGTCTTCTGGCATGTGGTACCATGTAGATCTTGTGTGAACTGACGTTTTGGAGGAACATATCGCCTCCATCTTCAGGGTAGAAAAATCCGCGAGCAAGGAATCAGCATGAACAGCTTGCAGCAACCTACTCACACTGGTTCCTCACAGATTTTTCTACCCTGAAGATGGAGGCGATTTGTTCATCCGAAATATCACTTCACACAAGATGTACATGGCACCACATCCCAGAAGACAGCATTCTTCAAAATGTATGTTTTACAGTTGTAATAGTATGAAACAGTGAACAATGTGTGTGTCGACAGGACGAGCATGCTGGAGCTTGGGCAATGCTCACTCAGCTATGGGCAACCATGAGAAGGCTCTGTACTTTGCGAGCAAACATCTGGAAATATCAAAAGAGGTTTGTTCATGTTTTTTGGTTCATTATTTGGGACATCTGTTGTGGGTTGAGGTTCTACTGGTAATTGCTACTGTCAAGTTACTCTTCTCTGGGATATGACACTATGTAATCTGGGAGAATGCTACAAACATCTTTGAAGAACATGGTACCACCATCCTGAAGGTACTTTTCAACCCTGCAGATGGAGGCAGCAGAGTCCTCAGAAATGTTATCATTATACCAGTCTTACACTGTAAGAAACCTCTGTAGAAACCTCAAGACCCACTAATTGCTGCTTGTTTTCAGCTGGGAGACCCAATGGGCCAGGCCACTGCCCAGATGAATGTGGCGGACCTGCGCAAGGTGTTGGGGCTGCCTACCAGTGACCTGTCACCTGACAGTTTGGAAGTGGTGTCTTCCCTTGGGGATCAAACCTCCCCTGCGCTCCATAGATACAGGGTGAGGAGGCAAAGCATGGAACAGCTGGATTTGTTTAAGGTGTGATACACTATGTCAGGCTGTGTTGCCAGCACTGGCAAGTAGGTGCATGTTGTATTCGACTGTGGGAAGTTGCATGCTCTGTTATTTGTGACTTTAATTCTAACCTAAGAAACATCTGTAAGACCAGCCATACATTCTCCTTGATCATCATTTGGATTGTGTGCTCTGAAGACTGACGGCTGCTTTAAAGCCAGACAACTGATGGGACATCATGATTATGCCTGTGATTTCGTCCCCACAGATGTAGTGTGTGGCTGGCCTTATATCATGAACTTTAAAGCTAAAATGAAAATAAAGGTATTGGCTCATTTAACAAAGGATTATAAAAGTGTACATTTGCCATGCTAAGCCATGCTAATTCATTTCTGCATGACTGCAGAGTTGGTGGTTAGTATTTGTCGGTCATGTAACACAAGATTGTGACAGTGAACACTTGCATTCGAGCTAGCCAAGTGTTGCATTATTGTGATGATGTATGTGCATGATCCCTTTGGCCGATGATTGCATTTTTCAGTGCTGTTACGTGTATACCCATTGCCAAGTAACAGCTGTGCAAACAGGTCACAATACAACAGCCATTTCTGTGGAACACCCCTGTGGACATGTTTCCCGCCAACGAGAGAACACACAGTAATGGAAGAGACATTTTCCATGCAGTCCATGGTGGAGCTATGTAACGAGGACTAATAGTTTAGTTATTGGTTGAGTTAGTTGAGAGTCGCAGTTGTGAGAAGTGAGAAGCTGGTAGCTGAGGCTGGGGACAGTTTGGGGGCCGAGAGGAAGGGAAACATCCGCCTTTGGAAGCAGCTACCAAGCAATGACAAGTGAAGACTGAGAAGACTTAATGTGTGCTGTAGTTACAATGATCTTGAAGCGTGTAACTCAGTGAAAATGTTGTAGTTACATCCAGTTGCCAATCCAAAACCCGTCTCTAGTCACACCACATGACAGTACTAATGTTGTGGAACTTCAGGCTTAAAATCACCTATTCCTGTACAATAAACTGTAATCCCTTAATTAAAATGTGGCCACTAGCATCATAGTACCAGGAGAATTAAAACTCTTATTCCCCAACAATAAAGGTTAAAAATCTGTGTCGTCTCTTGTTTAAACAGTTTTGATATTACTTTATATTAACAGTAATCTAAAAATCATGCAATCGTCAGCTTGTATGCATGACCACTGCTTCCAATGATCTGCTGTGATTGTCCTGAATAAGATTGTATGATCATCATCATCATCAGTAATCTGTCAAGACGACAGGTCCACAGTCTCTTTCAAAACAATTCCTCCACTTAATGCGATCTAGAGCTTTCTCCTTCAAATGACAGTATCCTCTTCTGTCCCCAAGGTCATCCAGCATCTTCTTACGTCTTCTTCCTCGTCTTCTTGTCACTTCTATCCGCCCATCTATCTTTCCTTCGATAGCTTCTTTTAGAAGGCAGTTTCTGCGTAAAACATGACCAATCCAATTAGCCTTCCGTTTTCTTATTTCATGTAGGATATTCCTCTGCTCACTGACTCTAATTAACACTTCTTCATTTCTCACATAATCGGTCCAACTGATCTTCTCCATTCTTCTCCAACACCACATTTCGAAACTTTCCAGATGTTTCTGATCTACTGCCCTAAGTGTCCATGTTTCAGCCCCATACAGAGCTATGCTCCAAATGTAGCATTTCACTAGTTTCTTCCTCAAATTTAAGTCCAATTTGCTGGTAAAAAGATTCTTCTTCTTGCTAAATGCAGCTTTTGCCATGGCAATCCTGGATTTAATTTCACAAGTACACCTTCCATCATCTGTTAACAAGCTACCCAAATATTTAAAACATTTCACATTCTCCACTTGTTTTTGGTCTATCTTTATTGTGACTGGGGTTGGTTGTCTCGAAATTTTCATTACTTTTGTTTTCTCCACATTCATTTCCATGCCATAGCACCTTCCAATTTCAATTAGTCTATCAATCATGCCCTGTAGCACAGTTTCTTCCTTAGCCATTAACACAAGGTCATCTGCATATTTCACAGTTTGAATAATTTGCCCTCCTACTTTGAAGTCACCGAGCCCATCCAGAGCTTCCTTGGTAAGGCATTCGCTGTACAAGTTGAACAGAATTGGTGATAAACAGCATCCTTGTCGAACTCCTCTTCCAATCTGCACACTTCCTGTCTCCCCCCTGTCCAGTCGTACTCTAACTTTCTGATCCATGTACAATTTGCTAATCAATCTTCTTTCATGCCAATCGATACCTGTTTCTTTCAGGATCTGCATTAATTTGGTCCAGTTTACCCGGTCAAATGCCTTCTGCCAGTCTATGAAGCAAACACACAGTTCTTCATCTATCTCCAAAGTTCGTTCCGCTATAATTCTCATCATCCCAATTGCATCCCTGGTTCCTTTTCCTCTTCTAAATCCAAACTGATCTTCTCCAAGTACATCCTCTATTTTCCTTTCAATTCTTCTTTTAAGTATCTTTGCTATTATCTTTGCTGTATGTGCAATAAGACTTATTGTGCGATGGTCGCTGCATTTTGTAGCTTTTGTCTTTTTCTTTAAGGCAATCATTGTAACTTCTGTAAAGTCCTTGGGCCACTCTCCACTTTCATATATGGTGTTCATTAGTTTTGTCAGTGTTTTCAAACCACCTTCTCCCAGTAACTTGAGCACATCTCCAGGTACATCATCATCTCCTGTAGCCTTTCCCTTCCTCATTTCCTTGATAGCTTTTTCCACCTCACTTTGTAAAATATATGGTCCTTTCTCGTCTGTATCTACTTCTTCTTCCGGTTCAACTTCTAAGGTTTCTGGCCGATTAGGTCGATCATATAGTTCTGAAATATAATTTTCCCAAATTTTCAGCACTTGCCTCTGATCTACTATTCTATTCCCCTGGGAGTCTTCGATGCCAACATTTTGAATCCCATGATTCTCTTTCCATCCTAGTTCTTTTGTCTTCATGTACATCAAATCATAACGGCCTGTTCTTTGAAATTCCATAATCTCATTACATATCTTCTCAAGATATTCCTTTTTGGCCCTGTCCGTGGCTCTTTTCAATTCATTCCTCAGTCTCCTGTATTTCCTCCTGCCTTCTTCATTGTTGACATTCTTCCATTTCCTTCGCTCCTCCATTTTACTCATCATCTCCTGTGTAACCCATGGTTTTCTTGCTATCTTCTCAACTTTACCTACCAAATCACTGATAGTATCTAACATGCATTCTTTTATATCGTTCCACTGCGCTTCAGCATTTCCGCTTTCACCTTCAATTGCACCGAGTTTCTCTTCTAGAGTCTCTTGCACGCTTTGTCTTTGAGCATATAACTTCTCCAAATCCCATCTGGGTCTGCGCTTTCGAAATCCTATAATTTTCTTCAACCTGGTTCGGAACTTGGCAACCAGCAAGTTGTGGTCAGAGGATTGTATGATATGTGTCATAATTAAGTGCTTTGAAAATATCCTGTAAACTTTGAGCTCAGTCTCTAGAGTTAGCTTGATTGTTGATCTGTATTGCATTCTCATGTCCAAGCAGCATGTAGAATGTTGGTTCAGTCTTTCTTCTGCCCAGTTTAAATTCATAAACTACACAGCATTACTGATAACATAAAAAACATTAATATTATTTTAGCTTGTGTAAGGCCTGTTGAATTTCATTGGAAAATCGTTGAAAACAACCTATGTTAAAAATACATGATAACGTCAATAAGCTGAAACATTCTGGATAGACATCTGTATTTATATTAAGATACCATGAATCTTGGCTGGGACACTGACAGTTTGTGGTTTTTTCAATCCCTCTGAGTGGATGCCAGGCTGGTACCCATAATTTGGCCATGCCTACTTCACTCTGTATCCTTTCCAGTTGATTATTCGTTGTCATCCAATTGCTTGATGCTATGTAGCCTAAGTTACTGACACTGTCATTATGTACAAATAAATATTTGAAGATACTGCACTTGATAGAATAGCAGTATGCATTGTGTGCTGCTGCTGCTGTCTAAAGGAAATGTTTTGGTAAAGGCAGACACTGTAATAGTCACACTGGCCTACCATCCACTGCTGTCATATTCTGCATCTGTTCATAACTACTTACAAACATTTATAATGACAGAAGAGCAAACAATAACATTGTATAGGTGAGGATGTTAAATATGAGGTCTGAAGGTCTCATGGCTGTGACTGCCATGAGTACTGTCTTCTGGGACATGTTGCCGTGTAGTCTGGTAGAAGTTTACCAGTGCTGTGGAAGCAGTACATTCCTCTGAAACATTGGTAAACTTCTACCAGACTACACAGTGTCACATCCACACTATTTAAAGCCATTCAGATATGGGAAGTTGATTTTCAAGATGAGAAGTTATAGAAGGAGCCCCAAAAACTGCCAGTTCTCTGTTATAATTATTGATGTATCGGCTTCAGCAGCTGTGTAAAGTGTTTTGAATGAACACACGTTTATGCTTAAGTCTCCCAGTTGCTGAGTTAATTAAGCAAGAATTGATATATTCCACATACATTTCCTAATTTATATATTCGGCAGTCAGCTTTGATGTTTTGAAAACACAAAAATTACTGAAGAGTTGACAGTGGTTTTTCAAAGCATATGTAAAGATTATCAGAGTCTCTTTAATAATTAAACACAGCTTCCTTGCACCAAAATTTATTGTAGATACATATAAATCATCATCATAATCATCATCATCAGTAATCTGTCAAGACGACAGGTCCACAGTCTCTTCCAAAACAATTCCTCCATTTACTGCGATCTAGAGCTTTCTCCTTCAAATGACAGTATCCTCTTCTGTCCCCAAGGTCATCCAGCATCTTCTTACGTCTTCTTCCTCGTCTTCTTGTCACTTCTATCCTTCTTTTAGAAGGCAGTTTCTGCGTAAAACATGACCTATCCAATTAGCCTTCTGTTTTCTTATTTCGTGTAGGATATTCCTCTGCTCACTGACTCTAATTAACACTTCTTACTACTTTTCTAGCTTAACAGAGTAGTTACTTAAATATTTAATCTGATTGCAATAAATACTTGAGCATGGGTGTTAGTATGCCATTTATAATTACTTCTCCTGAGTGTGCATGTTACATGTACACTATACTTTTATAATATTGCTTCACCTGCAGAGAGCAGGACACATGTTTTGCATGAAGCACAATGTCAGTAGTGAAGGCACTGGAGTGCTGTGTGTACAGCGAATCATGTGATGTACCATTAGCTCCTGCATTGTTACTTTACAGCTGACTCCTGATAGCAAGCAGAGGGCTGACACATTACCGCCTGACTTGGAGGCAGTGGCGGGAGCTCAGAACCTAACACATGCTAACAGTGCTGCTGCAGCAGATGCTAAGGTATGTGTCGACCTGTTCATGATTATTACTTGTCCCATAATCAGTCAGAAACTAAGTTATAGGCATATGCCTTAACTCACTTTTCTCTTCTTATGTAACACCATGTAAGTCTGAGGTGTGGTTCAGATTCCACGTTTCTTGTAGTAATTGGCTCAAGGCTAAGGTATATGTCGACCTGTTCATGATTATTACTTGTCCCATAATCAGTCAGAAACTAAGTTATAGGCATATGCCTTAACTCACTTTTCTCTTCTTATGTAACACCATGTAAGTCTGCGGTGTGGTTCAAATTCCACGTTTCTTGTAGTAATTGGCTCAACGTGTGGCACAGTTGGAGACCGCTGCGTGTTAGATCAAGCGCTTAACCATAAAATCTGGTTCATGATAATAAAGATTTTACTAGATCACTTGGAAAGTTCTATCTTCTGGGATGTAATGCTGTGTAGTCCATTGAAAATCAAGTGACTTTTGAGGAACATATTGCCCCCAACTTCAGGGTTAAAGAATACGTCAAACAAGATGCCAGCATGAAAGCAGATGGTTTCTTGCTTGACTTATTGTTTGACCCTGAAGGTGGAGGTGACGTGTTCCCCCTAAATGTCAGTTCACTTTCAGCAGACTATAGCATACCCCGGAAAATAGAACTCCTCATAGCCACTGCTGTGAGGGCCTCAGAACCCTACGTAGATCAATAGATCATTTTGGTTTCCTAATTACTGAAAGTATAAATTTTAGTAATCTGCTAATGAGGATCTAAAAAATGCATAGCAGTACTGCATGAATTTGCTTTGTGTTTGAGTTGTTCCAGTGTTTTAGCATCCATTGCAGTTGCCATCAGGTGACTGAGGCACTATATATACATTTCACCTTCACACTTCATTCACAAACACATGGCTCTTTTCTGTTGCACAGAACCATGTTCTTCTTTCTAAACATCAGTATGTTACACTTAGTGCCATGTGTTGACAGATGCTGTACTAATTGATTAACAAGAAGCCAGTCTTTTAGGTTGTGGTGGTTCTAATACCTTGGCCTAATGGCTGCATTATATGCAAAGGGTTAACCTGACTCACTGATTTGAAATGTGTGTCACAGGGGGAGCATTTAGATGATGAGGAGTCCTTCTTCGATTTGTTATCGCGCTTCCAGTCTAAGCGGATGGATGACCAGCGGTGCTCCCTAACGATAGCAGAGAATAAAGAGAATACAAATTCTCTGCCAAATAGCAACCATAATAACAATGCAGCAGCCAGCATCAAACCCATAATGCCACTTAACAACAACAATGCCGCCAACAGCAAGACACCTAGCAATGGTATGGATGGCAAACATCATACTGTAATGGTTAACAGTCCTTATCATCAACATGGCCTGTCAGCAGGCGAACTTGCCCCTGTGCTGAGTTAAACCCCTCAAGAGACTGAAGGTATAAAACATTGGATAGATTGCGTGGAGGACTGCATAGCTGTTCTTGGTGCTGCAAGACTCAAATACTGATTTTTTGATCCAGCTCATAATCTGATCATGAGATTGAGTTGTGGCCAGGCTTCAAACTTTACTCTTTGAAAATGAGTTTTCTTTTGTGCAGGTGACATTTATATTCTGACAGTAAAGGCAGTCAATAGGTGATCTATTTGATGACAGCACACTACATGGTCTAAAACCTCATGTAAATATGTGAATGAGAAAGATTTTCTTGCATAATGAGGTATCAGACATGGGCGGGAGCAAATATTTTATTAAGGTTAGGTGACAGAATTGCTGCTCTCTGTTAACAGAATTTTCCACAAGAATTATCCAGCGTTGTCAGTGTAGTGACTAAGTTACAGGCTGGATTACCTTAGAACTAGGGTTTGAGTCCCATCAGTGACCAAGAGTTTGTTGTTCTCCACAGCATCCAGACTGGCTCTGGGACCACTCAGCCTCCTATCCAGTGGATACCAGTTGCCAGTTTCCATGGGGGTAAAATATTCAGGGCATGAAACAAACCACTCACTCCATCTACTGCCAAGATAAGAATGCATGGAACTATATCTCTGCTCTCCTGTACATCTTCGTGGTGCTCGGTTAAGAACAGGGACAACTTCACGTTTTCCTGTGATCTGGGGAATTTTCTGAGGATCATTTTGGCATATGTGTTGTGATGTCACAGTTTCTTTTAACCACGGCAATTGTGTATGTTCTTTGTGAGGCAGTGAGTGAAAACTGGCAAATGATTTGCAGTGTTTCTGTATGGAGTGACCACTGGACTTTATTATGAATGTTGGTAGCCTTGCAGGATGATCTGCTGGACTTGATAGCTGGGATGCAAAGTAAGCGGATGGATGAGCAGCGTGTTGCATTGCCCCATCTGCCTGGGCTCCACCCTCCTGCACAATCACAAGTGCTGCAGAGATTGTCCGTCGCAGGCCTGGGTGGTGACGGGAGCACAACTCCAGATGATACGTTCCTTGAGATGCTCATGAGATGTCAGGTGAGTTCTTCTTCCTGCCATTAGGCATTCTGAACAGAGTAAAAAAAGGATGCCTTATGCAGGGACGGTATCTGTCCATCTGCCTGTAACCTGGTATGGGTGCCTAAACCATTAGAACTTCCCCCCCACAGCTGTGGGTTAAAGTTGTTGGGAAATTCTGATTTGCAGCCGTATTGACGCATGATCAAGTTCACTTGATTGAAGGCTGTAAATGGATAAACAGGACACAAGCTTAACAAACTGTAAAGAACACTGCTGGGGAACATTGTGTAATACACGGAGTTCACACTTTCCAGTCTTGATGTTGCATGTTGTGAAATGTCAGTTTGATCCTTATTCTGTTGGGTGGTATATGTTGATAAATACAGTGAAACCCCTACTGAAGGGTCTGTGGGGGAATTGCTCTTCTTATAATTAAGTAAGGAAATGCATATAGAATGTTGGTGGGAAAACCAGAAAGAAAAAGACCAAGGCGTAGGTGGGTGGACAATATTAAAATGGATCTTAGTTAGTTATTGGAGAGGGTGGGTTTCCCCATGCACTTAGACCTGTATTGGTCCATTGTGCTTCCCTCTATGATTTCTACCAGTCTCTATATCCTACCGGTACTGGTGCTTACCATCAGTCCCGCCCAGCCAGCGAGACCGGCTCTACTAGCTGAGAGGTATCTATAATGCTTCCCCCATCTACCAGAGGTATTAGAGACTGCTGTTGGGCGGGAAACATCCGTAATTTGGCTCAGTGACCTCCTTTGGAGATATGAGGTTCTTTTATGTGCCATAAAGCTACGACACGGGACCCACAGCTTAAAGTCCCTCCCGGAGGACTTGTTCCCTGAATTTTTCCGCCCTTAAAAATTTGATGACCTCTGCCAGGTATTTGAACCCCCGTACCATGAGTCATGAGGTGGGAATGTTACCTCTAGACTACGGAGGCCGCTTTAAAATGGATCTTAGAGAAATAGGATGGTATGGATTGGATTGATCTGGCTCAGGATAGGGACAAGTGTAGGGCTCTTGTGAACATGGTAATGAACCTTTGGGTTCCATAAAATGCTGGGAAATTTTTGAATAGCTGCAGATTTGGCTTCTCCACAAGAAGGGCTCAGCTCCATGAGTAAGTAAACTGTTTCTACACAAATAAAATTAGTTACATTAGTAATATGAAATTCATTTCTAGAATAATGGGTGTCATGAAATAATCACTGAAAGTACCTCAGTTTAAGAATCAAAGTAACTGTGATACCAGTTAACAAAAATTATGATTGTGTGGTAATTTTTAGCAGAGAAAACATGAATATCCATCATTATTTCAACCACAGTCACACTATACTGAAGCATGAGTTTCAGAAGTTTGAAAATTTATCACAGTTAAATGCAGACGATTCACCGAATCAGAAATCATTAAGTACTGGAAAAATGCTGCGCCGTAGCTCAAGCGGTTAGTCGCTGGATTCCCACCGCGGTGGCCTGGGTTCAATCCCAGGTCTGGTCAAGTGGGATTTGTGGTGGACAAAGTGGCGCTGGGGCAGGTTTTGTCCGAGTACTTTGGTTTCTCCTGCCAATCTTCATTCCACCAATTGCTCCTCAATCACCCTCACCTATCATCTGGGACTGGTGCAATAGGCCAGAAGTGGCTGCAGTACAAGGGACTTAGTCCCACCCCACTAGCAATAAAAAAAACTACTGGAAAATGATACATTGTTTTTATTGGGCTTTGGCTGGAACCACAAAAAATACTCACAAAATGTGGGAACACTGAATTTGAATTTCACTATAAGAGTTGCTATATGGGTGCCTGATATGTTAGTACATAATGTGATGTTTGAAGTTCATAGAATCCTTGGTTTTGGTTTGTAACAATCACAGTATGTTAAAGAAGCATATATTGGTAGGGGTCACGTCTGGAGGACCAGCGCAGTTCTCTTCCTGGAGATATGGATCCAGATACTGACCAACGTCCATCCACGCGTGGCCCAACTGTACCAGATGAGGACTTTTTCTCCCTGATCATGCGTTTGCAGTCTGGCCGAATGGAGGACCAGCGTGCCACAGTGCCAGCCCAATCACATGAGAACCGGCTTAGCGGTGCCAGCAAAACTGCTAGTAGGAAGGACAAGAAGAAATGATTAATGTTTTCTGCACCCAGCTCTGTTGACTTCTAAGCCAGCAGTACCCACGGTGCAGTATGATGTGGAAGTACATACAACATAAACTGTAGTTCAGAGCTGAGGACACTCGTATCACTTCCAGTTTTACTACCTGTATGAGTTGCGTCATCCTGATGAGGGGCATCTTTGATGTAGGGAGTTGTAGGTATACTCAGTTCTGCTGAAATCTGTAATCTTCCAAAAGCTACCCTTCCTCCACTACTGTACACAGTAACTGCCATTCATTGATACTGAGGAACCTAGCAGCCAGTCACATGAATTGAGCAAGAGACGAACAGTGTCCTGCATATCACTTCTTCATAAACTTCACAGCTTAGTTACTATAGTTATGTGTAATATCATCTTATGCAGAGGCTGCTGGAAGAAATTAAGTTTATTTCTGTCACATTTCTTTGTCCAGTGTAATTCTCTGTATCGCCTCAGGCTGTCTAACCATTCTGATATCATGGGTGTCGCTAATGAAAGCCATGTGATAACCTTTACTAGTGACGAGTGCTTTGGGCAGGTAACATACAAAGGTCTGGAAAGGAATACAGTAGTAGGCAGTTAGTGGGCAGTCTCGAGTGCTGTCATTCACACAATCTGTGGGACTTCTTTCCATGGCATCAGGAGCCTAGGCTGGTTTATGTAAGCCATATGGGGCTGGAGGTAAATACAGCGGTAGGCAGAGGGAGGGAAGCCTTGAAAGCTGTGATCCCCATCATTTACAGCTCCAGTAGGGGTTCACACAGAACTTTGAGGTTGTCCTTACTTAGCGCCCAATGATAGTGACTGGGTGCACCACGTTCTGCTTGCGATACATTGCCATGTATTAGTTTTATATATTCCAAGATGAAATTATTAGTTGCTAGACTGTACATAGGGATAGTATTTATCAGTTTATATCTCTGTAATAGATCCTCAGTGTAGCTTCAGCAGCAGCATTGAGACTTCAATATTGCATCTTTCTGCTGAAGAAATGTGCTGTAAGAACTGTTGCTCTTTTCTATTCCATTACATGTGCCAAATAGCATGTAGTTAATACGAGTATATGTGTATATATATATATATATATATATATATATATATATAATAATATATAGTTTATTCGATATGCGCCAAAAA